GGCACCTCCCGGAGTGAAGGGGGAAAAAAGAAGGGGGTCTCCAGACGGTCCTGCTCAGACGCGGGGCGGGGTTGGGGGCTCCCGTGGTGACGCGGGTGGTGCTGCCGCCCTCCTGCCAAGGGTACCTGTTGGGCTACGACCTGCCCCAGGAAGGGCAAAGCCGGGAGAGCTCTCCCCCTTCCTCGGGCACACAGCCCTGCCCAAGGCTGGTCAGCCACCCACCCCGAGCGGTGGGAGATCTGGCAGAACAGATAGGAGGGAAAACCTCTGCACACAGGCAGCAGGTGCTCAACTGCGGAACTCCTGGCCACAAGATGTGGCGAGGGCCACCCACTGGTGTGACTTTAAAAGCAGCTCAGGTCAATTAATGGAGGACAAAGCGAAGCTTCTGGGTGGCCCTGGCCAGAGCAGAATGCAGCGCTGGACCCCAGAGCCCCCCCCCCTTGGCCAGAGGCACCTTTCGGGCCTCCCTTGGCATGATCAGGGCAAGGGAAGAGTGTGCCCAGCATGGGTGGCTCTGGAGAGGCAGCGGGGGGGGGGAGAGAAATCTGTTCTGAAATCAGTGCACGCTCCTGCCCAGTTGCTTGTTCTTCAACAAAGCAAGGGGCGAGCACGGGATCTTTAGCTAGTTGTACTGAGAGCTGGGTTGGCTTCTTCGATTTATCTTGTCATGTGCGCTTACATAGCAAAGCATTTTGTTTACAGCCGGGCACAACACAGGCTGGTCCATGGGCATTTTATAAGTGTCTGAAATAGAGGTGTTCTCCTACCATTTCTACACATAGTGAGCAGTAGCTGAGTTTCTCCGCCTTGCGGTAGATCTCCCGGAGGGCTCTGTTCTGGGAGCATCGGTCACAGGGCCCAAACACATTGGCCAAAAAGGTCTGGTCACACATCTTGGCTGGCGAGGCGACGCTGGAGGAGGAGAAAGCAAGGGTGGAGCCTTATTATGTTCGGCACAGAATTCCTCCACCCCACCCCCACCCCGCCCGTTGGCAACAGGGCCGGTCCTGCCCTTGGGGAGAAGGGAGAAGATGCCTTTGGGCAGCGTCCTGGGAAGGCCAGGCTGAAAAGGCAGCCAAAGGGGTGGTTATTTATTTCACTGCACATGTCCTGGTGGGTGGTGGGGAGCAGGGGCTTGAGAGATCGCCCCCCCCCTTTGCATGACCTGATCTCTCGGCTGGCTCCCAAGTGGAGGAGGTGGGGATTTGCTGCCCTATTTCAGGCTAGAAATATCTTGGGTTGGCCCCCCTCTTGAGAATGTATTAACTACTGCGGGAGCAGATGCAGACAGAACAGATGACCTTCAGCCATCCAGATTGATACAAGAATTGAAAAGCTGAATGGTTGGCATTTGTTGATCTTGAAGAAATTTGCCGGCGATGGCCCTGTTCATGGGTCAGACTTACCAGCTCATCGGATTTACCTTAACGAGGTAATCATGTGAGGTTTAGAGTGTAATTTTTTTGTTTGCCACGTCTGCCTCTGCTCACATAGAAAGAAAGCGAGAGCTACCAGGTAAAAAGTACATGTTCTTTTTGATTTGGGATGACATACAAAATGGCACGTCATCATTTCAAGAGGCATCATCCTCTCCTGTGTGAGAGAAGGAACCTTTTTTTAAAAAAATTAACTGGAGTGGAAAGGAACTGCTGCTCAGTCGTCAAACTCTTTCAAAACATCGTATCATTTCTACTGTTTACAAATATTAGGGGAAGCAAAATGAAAATGGCTGTAGCAAACCCAGTCATTTTGAGAAGCTCTGTCTGATAGATTTTGAAGTGGGTGAAGATGATAGCCTTGGCTTTGGAGGATAGCTCCTGTTTTCCCCTCCCCCCCCCATCTGTAGAAGGTCAGGATTTCTGGCTCCCACCCACTTCATGATAACACCCAAGAAAAGGACTCCCCGGGGCTGAAATTGTCCAGCCGAAATGGAGAGAGGCTGGGGTTTCAAGGAGCAGGTCTTAGGAGGGCCAGGCGCTCCGTTTTCTTCCGTTGCTCAAAGGAAACTCACAGGCTCAACTTTCTTTAATGCTAGGAGGACGTCCGTTGGGCTACATTGGTGAATTGGCAGGAGGGGGGCTTCTAAAAAACAAAACCCACAGCTTTGGGGTCTACCCATCCTTGATAGGCAGTGATAGCTCTTCACCATTCCTGCCTTGGTTTTCCCATTCCAGAAGGAGAGTTTGCCGCCCTTCCAGAGCTCTTCCTCTGCCTCTCAGGGGGTAGGCCTCGGAATCCCTGTTTCCAATAAAGCATCCATTTGTTCACTGTTTCATCATGTGCATCCTAGGGGCCGTGTTCCCACATGGCCCCAGTTCATAGTGAATTCATTTAACCACTGGCTCGCCTTTGAAGCCCTCTTCTTTGTACTGATACAAAGAACAAGGTTAACACATGATGCCTGCTTGGACAACACAGCTGCCAAAGGTTTATGCCACAAAGATGGATATTGCCTGTCCCCCCCCCCCCCC